GACAAAATCGCTGCGAAGTGGACAAAAGAAGCAGTCCGTGCATCTTTATATATATATACATACCATGATGTGTCAATCTCATCCAATTTTGGATCATTCACGTGATTTAGCGTTTCGTCCAAGTGGGTCACCACCATCACATGGATTCAACCCGTGTGCTGTTTCTGTTCAGGTGGAGTGCGACGTGTGCCGTGCGTGCACCATCCAGGCCGGTGCCCAAAGTCACTGAAAGATGGGATTTGGGGGTTGCTGCAAGTTGGCGTCGTGTGAAACACTAAATCGCTTGAAAAAGGTTTGAACCTCCAAGCCTGTGACTCATCCCACAAGTGGTCACACCATGTGACACCGACTCACGCGAACGCAATTTTCAAGATGCGATACCTCGTCCCTCCGCAGAATGTCATTGACAGAATCCATCATTTCTGGGCGAGAAGAAAACCACACAGCCTTCGAGAACAACACTTTTCTTTGGCGATAGTACCTGAAATCAATAGAATTCACCTTTTTGCTTGATCAAGGCAGCTGGGTGTGGTGAGCAGGGACCTGGCAAAGCAGCCTTCGATTGCAAGGGCACCCAGGACAATTGTTGGCTTTCAGTGGCAGAAAGCCATTGGCAGTTTCTTATGTTTGATTCAATTGCCTGCACTCAACATGCCTCGCAGGCCATTAACACGTGACACTAAGTATATCAGTCTATGACCTCTCAGATGAGCATGTTTGAACACAGCAAACAACGTTTGCCATTGTTCTGTGTGACTGTTTTTACCCGGTGTTCTAGCAACATAACATGTCTGTCAAATGCCTGGAAGAAAGACACATTTGCCGTTGACCAAAGACATAGGCTATGCGGCTTTGGGCAATTGGCTGGAACCTTAAGAGATTTGCTCATGTCCGGAACCTCGCATCATGTCATGGCTTTGGCTTTTGAGGTGCCGTGCATGGTCTCCAGCAAAGAAAGTGTGGTGCTGCAAGGAGAAGGGCAAAGGTGCCATTGACGATCTCTTGATTGAAGATCTACAAACACCAAAGCATTTAGGATTTCTTGATTGACGTACCGTTAGTTTTACTTCCATTTTTCACCTTTCACCGTGACGCACATAACAGCACCGTCCATTGACGCCGTGTGCTGTTTGGACATGGTCTGATCTCACAAAATGGAGCGTCCGAGGCACGGTCTGTCAGTCAACGGTCGTGCAACCTGCATTGGGAGGCTGCCAGTCTCCGGATACGCCACCCCAGTGTGATGCAGGTGCTGGCAAGGTATGGAAGCCATTGGGCTGCATTTTAAACAGATTTGGGGACAACGGCCTTCCACTTGGGGTTCTTTTTGAGTTGTGTGGTCATTCTTGCCTAAGGAAGGTTTTCATCAATGGCCACTGGTCTTGGGAGGCACGAGCTTTGGCTGGTCCAAGTTTTTTCTTCGAAGTTGCTTTCCAAACAGCAAGAATTATGCTTGTTTTGTCCTGGGCCGACTTTTGCGACATTTGCTTCCCGACTTGCGATGCGACAGCGACAGATTGACAGTGACAGGCTCACATGGCACATGGTTCTGTTTCCGTGCAGAAGCCTTATGATTGCCACGCAGGCGGGTGACTTGATTTCGACTGTTGCTGCAAAGTTTGGACGAGCTTCTTGTCATTCAATAGTCTTCCGTCTTCCCTGCTCAGGCCTTCCTGGATGGGAGCACGGCTGGTCTGGACCAAAGAAGACCTGGTGCGCTGCCCAGATGCTGGCCTTGGCGGTAGGTAGACTGTCATTGTGCCTGATATCACGCATGACATGATAATCAACAATTCCATGTGTTTTTCTGCAACAACAGGTGAGTAGATTTGTCCGGAGAAAGATGCTTTCCCTTGTTGCTCTCTCCTGGCAGTACTCATAATGCTCCTTGCAGGTGCTGCAGCCACGAGCAGCTTGGTTGCCCTGGCTATGTGTATCATGGTGCCGGTGCTGGTGGGCACACTCACGTGCCATGGCCAAAAGCAGTGGGCAAGGGATCACTTAAGTGACCTATTGCAAGGTGCACCATATTGAAAGCACCACATATTGGGAGGTGATTTCATGTCGGAGTGACATTGTCGGTGCTTGCTGTTCGACCTGAGGTTGTTGTCACCCATCACTATGTCTCTGGTGGAGCTGCTGGTGGAGCTGCTGGCGGTGTTGCCGGTGGTGCTGCAGCAGGTGGCCACAGCTGGTCCAGTGGTGGCAGCTATTCTTCTGGCGGCCACTATCACGTTCATCATGTCGTCCATCACGTGGTGCATTGATCCTGGCAGCGCAGATGCAATTTGGGAGATCAACCTGAGATCATGCAAAGCAGCAAGGAACGTCAAAGCATTGAATTGCGAGAACACCCCTTTTCCAAAGCGATTGAACGTTCTTCGCACAAGGCATCATTGATTTCGTCGCCCCTTACTTGCCTGGGGGCTGAGCACGTGGCAGTTCAGTGGGCCCAGATAAAATTTTGTTTTGGCCTTTTTTTGTTCTTGGTCAAGGATGTCCAAGGCAGGTAAGGGGGAAGCCCCTCACCTTAAATAAGAACAAACAAACTGTGAAAGAAGAGGAAAGGAAAGCAACCTCTTCTGTTCCAAAGTCCTCCCAATTTTCTTCCTTGTTTCCTTCCTTCCTGTTTGGTGGCCGCCTTGACTACTCGACAGATTCGACTAAGGCGCAACCTGAAGCATTTTTGCACAAACCTTTCTCATCATTTGGACTGCAAGATGAACGCAAGACAAGAATTGAAGACGAAGACACTGGAACATGAAGTTTGTAATCAGGGTAGTGTTGTGGTGAAACAAGTTTCGTCGGGTTTTATGTTTACCACTGATGGCACCTACAGACTCCAGACTTGTTTGCGAATTTGTACTGCTATCCGCTTTGGCAGTGTATGGGAGCCAGAGGGTGGAATGAAGCAAGGATCGCCAAAAGATTAGGCCAGTGAAAGGGGGTAGAACCTCGAACGTTGATATTCTGTCCTGCAAATGGAGTTATTTTGCACTACTTCACAGAGCACAGAGATTTTCAGGCAAATTCCAAGCCTGTCGTTTCACGGGCTTTGACAACAGAAGGTTTATGAAGGTGTCGTTCGTTCCAGTCATCCTCGCTGAACCTTCCATTCATACTGCCTTTTCGAGCCATCTCTCAATTAACTCAATTGACCACAGAGCGAGCACCAAGAGCTCAGCACCGGCCATACTTGTTTGGAAGATTGTTTGGTGTGTTACGAGGGCACCAGCGGCACAGACTTGGACAAAGTTCCAATAGGTCTGTGATTGGTCAATTGCTCACCTACTGATATGCTGAATTTCGTCGATCCATGAGATCCAGCAGGAACTGTGACTTTGCCAAGTTTAAAGAACTTGGTTCTTAGTGTTTGTTGCATCAATTGTGCGCGCGTAGGGAACAGAAACAAGGATTTGTGCTTGTTCAGTTGGCGTAGTCTGGCTCCAACTGCAACGGTGTCTTGATCCATGGTCGCCTCTTTGTTTTGGAAGAAGTGAGAACTAGCATGCACGACAAGTGCAACATGTTCAACATGGACATGCTTCGTGCCACAGCGCTTTTGTTCAGCACTCTTGAGATTGGACAGCTTGTGAGACACAATGTATATATTATATATATAATGTTACAATATATATATATATAATATAACTCAACTACAAGGAGACCTGGCCAAGTAGTCGGGGTGAATGCGCTTTGTTTGAGCCTGCGACATCCACTTTCGCACACATCGGTCGTTTGTTCAGCCTGCGACACTGGCAGTCGTTTGAGACTTCTTTTGACCAGCAATGCCTTCAACCTCCAGCAATGCCTTTGACTATTTGATTAGGAGCAAGGACGCTACGAACGGGGCTCCTGGCCTTACTAGGAACAAGAAGCTACTAGTAACAAGTGCATCGCTTCTAGTAACAAGTGCCTTACTAGTAGTAACAA